GTGTAGCCTGAAGCAGAGGTAAATCTAGATTAGCTCATCTCCAGCAATGCGTACACAGCTCTATCAGCCTCACAGCAGCTATGCCACTTGACAGCTGCCAATATCCACGCGTACTCGAGCATAGGAGAGGCCTTAGGAAGAACACAAAGTTGTTTTAATCAAAAAGACACATGTTCCCATCTATAAATCAAAATTTGGCTTGTAGCTAGCATGGGCAGAACTGACTTGGCCATATGTTTGCATTAAACCCTGGTGATATTTTGGTACATGGCCTGCTATTGAGAGCTGCCACCTCGTAACACCACGTCAGATCTTAATTCTGTCACTCTGTGACTCTGATTAAGAGAACAGGGAAGGGAAATGCAGAAAACTTCATAGTTAAGATTGGTGAAACAAGACAGGTAGAAATAGCCTCTTACAGAATCACAGACTGGTTGAGGTTGAAAGGGACCTCTAGAGATCATCTAGTCCAACCCTCCTGCTCCAGCAGGGTCACCTAGAGCACGTGGTACAGGGTGGCATCCAGGCGGGTTTGGAAGGTCTCCAGAGAAGGAGACTCCACAGCCTCTCTGCGCAGCCTGTTCCAGGGCTCTGTCACCCTCACAGTGATGAAGTTCTTCCTCATATGGGGGTGGAACTTCCCGTGTTTCAAATTGTACCCATTACCCCTTGTCCTGTCTGGCCACCACCGAGAAGAGTTTGGCCCCATCCTCCCTACATTCTCCCCTCTTGTACATATTGATCAGATCTCCTCTCAATTTTCTCTTCTGTAAGCTAAACAGGCCCAGCTCGCTCAGTCTTTCCTCACACTCCCGTTTCTCCGTGCGTATTTCCTGTAAACCTGGTGAAGCAAACTGGTTCTGTATTTTTCAGCACTCTACATAAAGCCACCCTGGGGTATTGGAATTTCTAATTCAGATTATACTTGCCAAGAAATGCAATTCACAGAAAAAAAAAAAAATCCCCCTCCCCCCCCCCAAAAAAAAAGTCCAGTGCTGATGCCACAGAAGCACTTCCACTGGTCCAAGACGTGAAGGTATAAATTCAAATATTTTTCTAAATATGGTGGGAAAAAGCTTTCCAGACAGGCCCTGGGAATTGACTCCCCCAGACAGACTGTCCAGCACCACCTAGAAAAGGGCAAGAGTGAGCACAGAGCTCATCCCGAAGGCAGGGGACTGTCTGCTGAGGCCAGGGAGGTCCTAAAAGGCCAATTGGAGAGGTGTGTGAAAGAGTGAAGTGCCACGGTGGCCGCCTCTCCTTGCCCCATGCCACAGCACCATCTCGGCGGTGCCCGGCAGGGACGATGCCATCGCCACCTCCTCGTGCACGCTGCGCGCAAGGCCATGAGGCCCCTGGCCTCAGCGCTGGCCACACGTGCCCAGCTCGGCGTCTTGCTGCCCTCCATTGCCACTTGGCGCGTAGCAGTGCCAAGAGATCTTGAGGAACACTGCCCGCCACGGAGTCCTGCTGTGGGCAGTCACAAAACTCAAAAGAGCCCGGAGGAGAGCAAGCTGTGACGCAGCTTATGGAAACGTGGTGCGCCTGGCAGCCACCAGCCGAGCTTTGCCCAGGGGTAGCAGTGCAACACGAGGAGGATGACTGCACGGGCAGCTTGTGGTCTAACCGAGCACTGTCTCCAGGAGTCACAAGGGCAGCCAGATGGACCTCCAAGAACCCACAGGGACCTGGGCAAGGCTGCAGGATGCAACCACACAGAAAGATATGTCAATCAGAGTATGCCATGTCTGAAACTCGGGCAAGTTCTCCTCTTTCAGAACATAACAAGAAAAAGGAAGAACTTAATGACCTTTCTTTGGGCTGCATTGAAGAGCTGCCACCCCCGTGATCCTGCTGTTCAGTACCAGTGGTTAACTTATATTCAGGTGTGAGCAGCCATCAAGTGTTCACAGTTTTGAGCCAAGTGGTGTCGCAGAAATATCTGTATTATCTTCAGCAAGGCACGAAACAAAACATAGAGGGACCAGAGCCTAAAAATCAAATACAAAGTCTTCTGAATAATATTTTCCCTGCATTAGCAAATCAGCTGAAGCAGCTGTATCATGCAGATCATATTCCCTGTAGTGATTTTTTTTTTAATAGATGGCTTGAGATACACTTTCTCTTGACAACAATTTTACTTCTGTAGGATTTACATGTAGTCTCCATGGGACATGGCAGTGGAAGGCCTAGTGCTTTGGGCAGAAATAGCTGGGAGTGAAATACAGAGACCAGGCGAAAGAACAGTCTCAGAACTACAACAAAAGGGTAATATACACAAACACACAGAAAATTTCCTCCTCCCTTCGTGCAGCACACTGCTCATGCTGGCAGTATTTTAGACTTGTTGAACTGGCTGTTGCAGAAGACAGCTTTGCAGACACATCATTAACACGTAATTACAAGAGCAGCTGCACTCCATTTTCAGAAGTCACACAGAAAAACAGAGTCAACATTTCTCACTCTATTTATCTTGTAGGAACAGCTATTTCCCTGTCAAAGTCGCCGTCAAAGAAGGAGCGGAGTGCAAAGAAAAGCATAAGACACCCACAAACATTTCTGATTTCTGTCCGTGGGCAACTTTTCTGGGAGCCTACAGATTATTTGGGCAATGTCATCCCTGAGTCCAAAGCTGCTGCAGGACAAAGCCTGGGAAGTGCAGCATTTAAAGCACGCTTCACATTGGCAGTTTTCATATAGAAAAGTATAGAAATGAAGGCTTGTGCAGAATTCTAAATAACAGAAATAGGAGCATGGTTACAGGAGTGTATCTTTTTCCTTTTCTTTTCCCTAAATCGTGAGTTGTGCAAATAATTTACTTAGTGTGAAGCTAGATCTCAGCATGCCCTATAGCCAGTTCAATCTCATACACACTACAAATTGATTTAGATAGAACTATCGTCACTGTTTATTTTACCCCGGTAACAAGAACTGTATCTAATCTTTATAGCTTATCCATGTATTTAGTTCACACACATATTTAGTGGGGTAAGTTTACTGCTGTAAGCCACTGATTTCACTTCTTTTTGTACACTTTTTTTTTTTTTTTAAAGGACATTGTTTCTTATACCGAACTGGTTTATATAGCTGCACCTCACTGAAAACATTTAAGACAGTCCTCCCTTTCATGTTTCACTCCCAAGCATCTTCTGGGGCCCTGTGCCAAGAGCTCCTATGCCAAACCTGCATATGCTGCACTGGGAGGCCAAGCTGTCTGCCCTATGGCCGCAGCTGCAGGGACCTCGTCTGCTTTGCTCCCCATTTCAATTCCTACACTACAGCACAAGACAGGTTTCCACCTGATATCATAGCATAGGGCTTCCTTTTTTTTTTTTTTTTCCCCTCCAAAATCTACTGCGGAGGAAGGGGACAAGTTGATGCAGCCCCTTCCTATGCCCTCCACCCCCCTTCCCCTCTCAATGTACTGCCTGAAGTCCTCCAGAAGCCGTTTCTTTGAGCGCAGGCAAGGTGGCTGTGCAAGCGCCCCCCTCACACCCTGGTGCCAGGGGCACCCCTCCATGCTCTGGCCACCGGGCACTGCGTTCCTCTTGGGCTGCCCTTCAGCCTCGCCACATTCCCTCATCCGTCACTTTGCCACTTCTGCCACAAGAGAGCACTCGTTGTTTAACTACGCGACCAGGTATCACCTCAGAGGTGAGGCCAACGCCTGCGGCTACCAGTGGCCTAAATCTGGTGCATGTAACTAGGGTGTACGGGCAAAGAGGAGTCCCCACAACCCGGGAGGGCTAGAGGGCACAGGGTGCTTCAGACTGGATTCCTGCTAATCTTCACATTTTCTCTAACCCTAAAACAGACTGGTGTGGGTGAGCTGAAAGAACGCCATGTTTAGATATTCTTGGTATTGAGTATCAATACTCCGAGAGTACTGATATCCACCTCTAAGACCAAGGAATACCGTCTACAGGCAGCAAGGCCTTTCAACAGGCACCTGTTCCTCTTGACCTCAACAGGCTGCCAGCACAACCCACCGACAGGGAGCCGTGTCAAGAGGTAGCATGGATAACTGTCAACAAGCATCCCCACCAAGAGCCAGCCTTAATTCTTGCTCTCGACTGGCATCGACAGCTTGCCCTCTTGGAGCCATGCTGCCCTCCTACGTTCTGAAGCCCATCAACACTGAGCGTTGCTGGGATTGAGAGGCAGGGAGACATCAATATATTGACACTAGGAGCTCTTGATATCAAGCTGTCAATGCCTGTCAGGTTCCGTGCCTAGAGACGGGCACCAACACTGACCCTATGGCTACGTGTGTCCGCCCCAATAACGTTTCATAGCGGTTATTCCGGTTTAGTCTGCTCTTGCGAGGGCAGCCAAGTGCCTCAGTGTCATGACCATAAGACGGGCACAACAGTAGCTTCCAACAGCCACAGGATACACATATCCTGTGTTGTGCGGAGAGGAGGCCAGGGAGGAAGTGACTCAGCCCTGCTCCACCGGTTCTCAGCAGCAGTCACCTGTGTCATCCTTCCATCACAGCACGAGGCTGGGGTGCCTCAGAGCCACGGGGCACCCCCGTGACTGCCACCTGATCTGCGGTGGGCCCTGCTGCTCTGCCAGGCACCCACGGCTTGCCATGGTCAGCAGTCCCCACGAGCTACGTGCGGTCATGCAGCACGGCATGGAGGCCACTGGCCGCACTGGTAGCTCACTTCTAGCGATATCAACTGCAGAAGGTCAGTTCAAGAGAAAAATAAAAAAGAAATAAGAGCCGACACGCAGCTCGGGAAGAGAGAGCTC